TTTTTCAGCTCTAAAATTTTCATTTGATTCATCTTTGTACCTTCTATTTCTTTGCTGAGATTTTCTGTTTGTTGAGATTTTATGCTTTTTTTCTTTTGTTTCAAGTGTGTTTCTAATTGTTCATTGAACAATTTTCTACTGACTATGTTGGCTGTTATTCAATCTTACTTTTGCTTCAATCTTATTCAGATAATTCTAACATTTCTGACATCTTGGTGTTGACATCTATTAATTATCTTTTCTCATTCAACCTAGTATTTTCCTGGTTCTTGTGAGATAAGTGATTTTCCAATGTAGCCGAGACTTTTTGGTATTGTTATGAGACCCTGGCTCTTAGATAAATACTTTGTTTATATCTACTTCCTCCAGCCCCGAACGTGAAGGAAGAAGGAGCCTCCTTATTTTTACTGGGTGTGGAACTCTAGCTTCTCCACTTGACCTCTGTGGACATCTGGGTTGGGGGAAGGGGAACCTTGTTTTCGCTGAGTGGGACCTAGAAGTTCAGGTTCCCCCTAAGTGGCAGATACTTCCTGGGCTGGGAGGGGCTGGAGTGCATTGTTACTGGTCCCCACATGTGTGCTGATACCATGAAGTTGGGGTGTTGTCACAATTGGAGGTCATCAACAGTCTGACTCCTAGACCTCCTCTAAGATGCCAGTGGGGAGTGAAAGGGAACCTCATGCCTGTCTGGTTGGAATGAAAGCCTGGGTTCCCTACCTGGCCTTCTCTGATACACTCTGGTAAAGGGAGCATTGGTTTGGGACACCTCCTTTCATCCTGAGGAGGTGGAGGGCTCCCCATTTAGCCTATTTATTTACTTATTTGTTTATTTGTTTATTTATTTATTTATTTATTTTGCTGATGTTGGCAGGGGTAGTGGGTGACTAAAGGATTATTTGATTGTATAAAAGTTTCTGTCTTGCTGGGTAAAGCCTTTCCTGATCCTTGGACTAAAGAGAACAGGTTTTGGTTGGGAATTTTCTTTTTTTTTCCATTTTCTTTTACAAATTGCAGAATTGCATGTGCTTGGGCACAGCTCAGCCCTCTGGCCACACTGTACTCCATAACAGGTGCTGTTTTGTCACTCGGGGGCTGGGCAAGAGCACACTTGCTATTAGAGGACCATGATCACAGACGAATGTTCTTTGTCCTGACATTTGTCATTTCCACCCTTTTTCTTTTTAATGACCTGTCCAATAGTACATGCTCTACTCCAGAATGGATTTTCCTGAAGACTTTAAGCTGCACACAGCACACTCGGACCAACTTCTAATGGGGATATTTTTATTTTTTAATTTTTTTTAATTTTTAAAAAAATTTTTTTTTAATAGAGGCATGTTTTTATGTATTTATTTATTTGTTTGTTTGGTTTGTTTATACATGCACTGGGTACAGTCAGAAGCGCGGGAGGGTGAGAGAATTCACCAGAGCCAGAGCGGGGAGCAGAGCAGGCAGAAGGACCGAAGTACACTGCTGAGGGGAGCAGCGGGCGGCAGGAGAGGTCTGTGCGCCATGTGGGACCCCCCTCCGGTGGCCGGGGAGCAGCTAGGGATCGAACCGGCGCCGCAGAGGCCGCGGGCTGATTCGCAACCCAGTGCTCAACCGCTGCGCCACCGGGGAGGCCCCTAATGGGGATATTTTTAAAGTGAAGAAAAATTATTTTGCTTTTGTGTTTAGTAGGCCAGAGACAGACTAGAAATATGAAGAATTAGATAAAACTAGCACTGCCTTTTATTACTATAGAAGACATCTTATGCGTAATAACTCCTAATATTGATGCCGCCTTGAGTGGATCTAATGCCTCTCTTCCAGTGGCAAATAGCTTGAAGTGGTTGTCAAATGATTATTCCAAGTTTACCACTAATGAGAAATTTGACCGCCTGTGTTCTTGCAAAAATGCAAGTTACTAATCAATCTAAAAGGAATTAAGCTGCCCTTGGTAACGTGAGGCCAGAGGACTGATGTCAGTCCCGCAGAGTCTACAGGGGTGGGGGAAAGACAAGGTAGGACTGCATTGAACAATCGAGCAATCAGAAAGGGACACAGAGCTGTGAAGGACATGATGTCGGAGCTTCTGAAATTTTAATGAGGCTGTGACTTGACACTGAGACCCTGGTTGTTTGCCTGGGCAGAGTGGAGAAGGCTAATCTGCACAAAATCATCTTTATCCCCAGAGATGTTTTCTTTCCTAGATGAAATTAGATTTCAGAAAACATGACTTTCCTTTCGTGACTGCCCACGGTGAGCCGGCGGCTGTGTGCTCCCTCCCAGACTGGACCAGACTCCTGAGCAGATGTAACAGATTAGCAAGATTCCCATCTGCTGACAGTGGCTGCTGTCTCTCTCATCTCTCTTGTTATCGGAGGAGACAGGAGACGGGGACGGCTCTGTGCAGGATGCAAGCAGCCAGAGCTCTGCCAGCACGGGCAGCTTCTTTCTGGCCAAGCATGAAGATATCGGCGTAGCCAGTGACTTGGCTCCTATGACCTTTGTGCTGGGAGAGGACACTTTGGTCAGATTTCAGAGGCTTCCACTTGGAGGATGGAGGTGAATATAAAAGAGCAATCCTCTGACCATTCTGGAACGTACACATTCTTGATTTCTTAAACTATTTCTACAATGGTCTGATAATTAATTATGTTTCAACGTGTTTTCATGTCCCCCACTTTTTGGCCTTGCTTGTCCACTAGCAGTAACAAACACTGTTGCTTTCTCTCTTTTTTGACATGGCCAGGCCCTACGGAGGATCATGGAGATAGAATAAATTCACACTATAATCTTGGTCCGAAGGAGTTTTAAGGCTGCCCAGCCAATTTACACGAAACAGCAAACACTATGAGGCAGGCTATAAATAGGGTAGGGCATCACGATGTTAAATTAAAAATCATTTGTGTGATTATCTGCTTCATGACAATATTCCTCCTGGGTCATAAGTCCTTTGAGGATAGGCACCGAATCTATCGTTTTCATCATTGGATTCCCAGCACCTGGGACAGTGCTTGCACTACAGCAGGTGCCTCAATATTTATTTTCTGACTGAATGATTGGGGTTTGACACTTGTTATCTTGGAGTGATATCTGCTGTGAATTGTTTTCCTTACAAATTCACTTATAAACCTTTCAACATCTGAGTAAATCACACATAAGCTAGATAAAGTGAGAGTCTATCTTAGTGAAAAAGGAGGACAGTTAATGTTTCTATGTGTAGGCATGATCTGTATGTGAACAGATTAGACAATTGCTATTTTGGTGGGACTTCCGAGATGCTGGAAAACAGCCATATAGAGACTTCTTTTCAAAAAAAATTCTTTTAGATAGTAATTCCTTTGAGAGTGAAGTTTTTGAAGTCTTCCAATTTCCCCATGCAAATGCAAAAATGACACCCTGAGTCTTTATTCCCCAATATTTTCGAGGCTTTGTCAAAATGGACACCCAGATTAAACTGTGGGGATAGTATATTTTGTTTACAAATAAGTAGGCTTTCCTTTATTCTGATGGAAATTAGTTTAGTTTGAGTAGCAGCTCTCAGATTGAAATTTTGAGAGAACAATTGGGGATCATACTCTAATCCTCAAGGAATTAGGAATTGACAGTTAAAAGCATTTATAATGGATAGTATATTTGAGTTCCAAGCTCCACATATCTCATTATCAAGTTCAAAGTATGCTGTCATTTTTTTCTCAGTAATTATGCTGTTATCTCCAAGTAACCAGGCCAACAGGAATAAGGTCAGGAAGTTAAGTCTGGGGTCTGGTACTCAAACCTACATCTCCTGACTCCCAGACCCTTTTGTGTTTCATATTTGTCACATGCTGCCTGGCATCTTATCTGCACCCAGAAGTGTGCCCCCTGGCTTGAAAAGTCCCAGAATGCTGGGTATTTCATTCTTGAGATTAGTAGGAGATTGAACTCCTTGGAATCCTTCCACAACCTTGAACAAAAAGGTGAAAACTGTCAGCTTTGATAAATGACAGCAGAAGGACCCTTCCATTCAATGTGCTTTTGTAAATATAAAACAGTTGCTGGAAAATTATATTAGAAATGAATTATCTCTCCCATTACAATGTTTTCTTTTCTTTAATGCAATTTAGTTAAAGCAAAATGAGCAGAAAGGCTTGGGACTGGCCACATTCAATACTTCACTTGGAAGTTACTGGAAGCAAGCTGTGGAGTGAGAGATGTGCTCTGGAGCTGCAGCAAGCTGAGGCCTTCTGCCCAGGAGGCCTGTGCTTAGGGCTCTGGCTGTACCCACGGGAAATTGAATTTGGAGCTCCTTCTGCATCATAAATCCAGGGCAGCTGGCCGCTTCCCAAAGCAAAACTGCAAGGGCTTCTGAAGCCAGACTGCCTGATGCTTACTTTGCCCTCTAGAGTGGGCCCAGGTGTGCGCATTGGAACTCAGGTGCGACCTCATGCGAACATTTATTTATCAGTCTTCTATTTTGTTAATTTTAAAGTGCACTCATCGCCTGGGAAGGAGGAGAGCCTCCATTATACACCAGAAAACGGAAAGGATTCATTACTCCGAAATTTCTCGGGGCCAAGAGGCGCAGGCCAGACTTTGGAAGAAGCTGCTTGATCTTTTTTCCGGAGAGCACGTGCCAGGAGCGCCCCTCGCCGGGTTTTGTAGCGCGGGCGTTCCCGCGCCCCGAGCCCCACGTCCACACAGGCAGCTCCAGCGTGGGGGACCCGGGGACGGGTCCAGCGCGTTCTGCCCTCGAAGGCTTCGTCTCCGCCTCCCCAGACCAACCCCGGGGCGGGCGGGCGGGGTCCGGCGCCCCGAGCCCCGGGCAGGGCGGGTTACCTCGGGCGGGGCCGAGCGACCTGGCCCCGCCCACCCCGCCTGGGGGCGGGGCCCGGGCGTCACGTGACGGCGCCGCCGCGAGCCGAGCGCCCCGCCCGGCCTGAGGAGGCCCGGGCCCGACCCGGCCCGCGCGCTGCCGGAGCTGCCTGCGGTCCGCGCGCTCCGCACCCGCGGCGCCCACCGTCCGCGGCCCCTCGCCCGCCGGCCGGGGCTTGCCGGCAGCGGGAGCGGCCTCAAGATGGACGAAGACGGCGGCGGCGGCGAGGGCGGCGGCGGTGAGTGCGGAGGTGTGGCCCGCGGGCCGGCGGCCTGGGGCCGGGGTCGCGGCGCGCGGGGGGGCGGCGCCCGGTGCGGGGCGCGTCTGCGTGAGGAGGCGGCGTCCCGGCCGCGCCGCGCCGGCTGCGACCGCGGAGGCCCGAGGCGGGTCCGGGGGCCCGCGGGAGGGGGCCGGCGGGGTCGCCGCCCAGCCCTGAAGGGTCCGGGGGCGAGGGCGGGGCCGCCCGCCGCCCGGGGCGCCCTGAGGCCGGAGCCGGGCGCGGGGGTCGCTGCCCGGGGGCGGGGGACCTTGGGGGCGACCTTCCCCGCCAAGGGCGTCCGCACCCTGGAGCCCCGCCGCAGGAGGGCGGGTGACCCCTTCCCGGGTGGTGGCCGGGAGGGGGATCCCCGGGAACGGGAGGGCAAAGTTTTGCATTTTAGACCCTTCGGGGTCACGAGAGGCGGGTGGGGGCCGAGGGCTGAACGTCGTGACAGTTTTCTTGACTTCAGGGCGCGAGTAGACAGTGGGGTCGCTTCCACGAGGAGGGGCAGGCGGGGTAAAGGCGTGTTATGAACGGGGAGATGTCGCCGAGCGCGCTAGAAATAAGTCCGAGGAGCCGAGGGTCGGAGTCTGGCGCTGCAGCCGGCGGCCGAGGCGAGACTGGAAAGCCAGGCAGCCGGTCAGTTGCCTCTTGCTGGAGGATTCTCATTTGTTGCAAATTATTTAGTGGACTGCAAATTACTGTCGTGTCATGCTGCGAATTACGCCTTTGAAGCGGAATGCCTGTGTGTGGTGTCGGTGTCTGGGTCTTTGGTTTGGAAAGCAGAGGGTTAACACCCCTATTTTACAGGAACGCCCGAAGTCGGGGTTCTCTCCACTTCGACTGAAGCCCTCCTTTTTGCTGACTTACCGAATCATCAGAACCCCCGGTAATAAGGGAGGGTTTTGGGAAAAAAAAAATCTTAATTACAGACTGCTGGAGCAGCTGCCTGTAAGAATCAGCAGTATTGAAGGCTTCAGGATGAAGTGGTTAATCAAGGTGCCTTCTAGAATTGAAGTGCAGCTCAAGGAGAGGGGGAGTATTTGTGCCCTAAGAAGCGATGCGGCTGAGACGGCGGGGAGTTGGCCCGAGTGGTGGCATTTGGCGAGTTCGATTCTCCCACTTAAAGCGAGGCTAGCGCTGTGGCACCGAGTGGGTGTGTTGTTTATGAAAGAAAGTGCTGTGGAGCGAAGGAGCGCAGTTGCAAACCCTCCTACAGCCAGACTGGCTGCGTAAAGATTCTCAACCATCATTTCTCCGTGGATACTTGTTTCCTCCTGCCTAGCACAATTTTGGGTAACAACAGACAGAGCAGTTTTCCCCTTTTAGCAAACAACTGTAATATTTAAAAGACAAACAACTGTAATATTTAAAGTTGGCCTAAAGGCAAACAACTGTAATATATAAAAGTTTGACGTTAGAGTCAAGTTAACCAGCTGTTTGGGAGGTGTTTCTGACTCTGCTAGTAAAGAAATGTGGAAGACTTGACCGTAAAAAGCCTGCTATAAACGGAGAAAGCCCATGTGCCTTAGCAGTTTATAGATCCTGAAAATTATAACAAAGGTTGATATTAAGTATCAAAAGTCTTTAGAAAATTGGAAACAGCAACACCTATAGGACAATGATGAGGTGAATTATGGGAAGTTTACTGGATTGTTTTACAACCGTTAAAATTAGGCACTTATTTTATATGCCATGATCTAAACGATGTAAAAACTGATATTATGGATATTTTATTTTCTTGGTTTTTAGATCTCCCAGGTTTATGGAATAATTGTGTAAGCAGTAGAAAATGTTTATGATTGTTTTTAGTGAATTTTTTAATTTACCTCACTGGAATATTCAACAAGGAGCATATGTTTATTGATTGTCTACTGAAAAGACAGGTAATCTGGAAAGTGCTGGAAAACAAGCTTTAACCTTTATTAATATGATTTTGTTAAAACCGTTCTTACCTGCATTGTCAAATACACTTAAAAATGGCAACCTTAGAATAAATTTTTGGATAAGTGAAAGTCTTAGTTTCAAAGTGAATAGTTCTATAATTAGTGTATAAATTTGATGTGCTTTTCTCTAACTCGATTTTTGAAAGTTTTGAGATTAGCATACCTTTTTACAGTTCTTTACAATTATTACCATTTAGGGCTTTAACAATGTTTTAAAAATTCACGTTTTCAAAAATAAGTTAAGTCCTTTGAAGACAATAATTTCTGTTGCCAGTCATTGGTGAGCTAATTGTAAAACAACTTTTTTTGGTTTACTTTTAGAGTATAGTAAAAAATTTTGGACTATATGTGGGGGAGCCTTTTTCAGCTTGTTTACAAGATAGGTAAATAATCTATCCAAGCAGTCGTTATGGAGGAGGAAAAAGATAATTTGAAAGGTCTTTTTTGGAGATTGTGTTGGTTGGGTTAAAAGCTTTAAAAAGGATTCCTACTTGCTGTTTTTATATTAATTATTTAAAAATTTTGTTCAGGGTATTATTTGTTCTTTCAATGCAAGATAAGGAGAGGATGGTGATTTGAATGGTTGGAAGGCAGTTCTAAGGAGGAGCAAAGGGGGGGTTTCAAGATTACAAGAACACATTGTTATTTATAATGTGTGCAGAGTGTAGTTAAGGTATTTTCAATCCCTTTGGGGGGTTTTGTTGCCTTTCAATTTTTCTAGAACAATTCTTGAGCTATGTCTCTACTTGGCAGGTGACTGGCTAGTTTGGCCCATTGCCACCATTTTAATGCTGTTCGGTCGTCTCTCTGATGTTCCTGAATGGACTATCTGTGGCAGATGAAGCGAATAACTTTACTGGTTTTCCCCTTCCTGTAATCCCTACCCCCCATGTAGATGAGGGTTGTCTGTGTTTCATGAAGGTGTGCCTCACTCAATAAGATAAAAATAAGACTATGGGGTGAGGTCCAATGTTTCACCTGTCAGGCAAATTGTAACCCCCACCTTTGAAACCATCTGTTGGTGATTGGAGTGTAAATTAGTTACAGCTTAATAGAGCATTGCCAGCCTCTGTCTGTTGGCTCAGATCTACCCATAGCTTGTCCTTCCCCTGCAGGAGAGGTGGGGGATACTTACCTCTGCAGCTAGTATTTCCCAGGCCCCTTGGGTCAGCTGATCAGTGGAACCATTGGTGGGAAGTTGGCTGGCAGGAAGGAGAAGCCAGGTTCTTTCCTCTCTTCTCTTTCTGCCCCCCCCCCCCCCCAGCAGTTGCCTCAGCTCCTTTTGACTCCAGCTCCTGCCCATTGACTCAGCTCCTGAGCTTTGAAAATACCTCTAACCTTAGAGGTGGTAGCAGCTTCTTGGTCTTGCTGATTTCTGGGTTGTCTAACCATTCCCTGCTTGATTTCTGAGCATTTCCATTAATCATAACTTGTATTTAATTTCTTCTATATGGGCTCCTTGAGGGACTCCTGTTTTCTCTGGATGGACTCTGGTAGATAGAAGTTAATAAAGTTGTAGAGAGGAATGAAGAGGCCCTTTATAAATTGGTAAGGAAAGGTCTCCAAAACATCTTGTCACAAAAGGAATGTATAAGGAAAGGTGCATTGTGCGCTACCATTTCTGTTAAAAAAAAAAAAGTGCTTGTCAGTACATGAAAATTCTCAGGAAGGCTGAACAGGGAACTGATAACAATGGTTACCTGTCCTAGGAGGGACGTGGGAGCTGAACAGCTGGGGAATGTAGACAGAGGGGAAACTTTTGGTATGTCTTACTGCTTGAAAATCAAAAACCATTTAGCTTAACTTCACTTTTTTCCAAAATTGGAAAATAGTTTCATAGAAAAATGCTGGTGAGAAAATACCCTCTGTGGGAGAAGTCTTGTATCATTTTAAAAAACAATATAAAATGTAGAAGATTATAGAATTCATTACCTATTTTTTAATCTGCACCTTGGAAATCAACAACTAATTTTTTTTTTTTTACTGTAAAAAGCGACATGATTGGTGCTGCAAGCATATTTGCTCTAAAACATTTAACAAATATCATTGATAGCCTCCCTGTCAAAAGCCAGGTCCTGTGCTCAGCCCAAGGGCTACCGTGGTGAGTGAGGCAGAGGAAATGCCTGAGTCCACAGAGTGTATGTTTAGAAGGGAGAGATGGAAGAGATCAACAGAGCTATGAAATAATTGTGAATTATGCCAAGTTGTATGAAAGGAAGTTCACAAGGGGTTGAGGGAGAGAGGGAGGGAGGGGGGTGAGAGAGGAGTGGGAGAGGTGTAGGTAAAGACCCTTGGTCAGGAGAAGGGCTGAGAGGATCTAGGATTGAAGGGGAGAGAGAGGCTTTTTCAGTAGTTAAGGAATTTACATTGATTCATGGAAGGGTTTTAGACAGAATAACATTTGATTTACTTTTTTTAGTAAAGATTTATTTTTATTTATTCATACAAGAACTGGGGTGTAGGCCAGCGTTGTAGGGGGTGAGAGGATTCACCAGAGACAGAGTAGGGAGCAGAACAGATAGATCTACTGAAATACCCTGCTGGGGGCAGCAGCGGGTGAGACAGGAGAAGTCTGCTGAACCTTGTGTATTAGCTCTCTGCCCAGGAATTGAACTCATGCCACAGTGGTTGGTGATAGCTTTAAGCACTGAGACTTTAGCCTCTGGACCACCAGGGAGGCCTCTTGATTTACTTTTCTTTTTTTAAAGATTTATTTGGTTTGTTTTTTTTTTTTTAAAATTTTTTTTTTTTTATAGAGGCATGCTTTGTTTGTTTGTTTGCTTGTTTGGTTATACATGCACTGGGTACAGTCAGAAGTGCGGGAGGGTGAGAGAATTCACCAGAGCCAGAGTGGGGAGCAGAGCAGGCAGAAGGACCGAAGTACACTGCTGAGGGGAGCAGCGGGCGGCAGGAGAGGTCTGCGCGCCATGCGGGACCCTCCTCTGGTGGCCGGGGAGCAACCGGGGATCGAACCGGCGCTGCAGAGGCTGCGGGCAGCTTCGCAACCCAGCGCTCAACCGCTAAAGATTTGTT